CTTAACTAATTATATCTGCAAAGCCCCTATTTCCAAAGAAGGTTACATTCTGAGGTTCCGGGTGAATTTTGAGGGAACACTATTCCCACTATAGACCCCAAGGTAAAAAGCAGCCCCAAATGTCATGCTCACTTCCTCAAATTACATCCTCCCCAAATCCTAACCTGTAATTCTACATTATCTTAGCTCTCTCCTCAGTGATGGCGAACCTTTTGAGCTCGGTGTGTCAGCATTTTGAAAAACCCTAACTTAACTCTGGTGCCGTGTCACATATAGAAATTTTTTGATATTTGCAACCATAGTAAAACAAAGACTTATATTTTTGATATTTATTTTATATATTTAAATGCCATTTAACAAAGAAAAATCAACCAAAAAAATGAGTTCGCGTGTCATCTCTGACACGCGTGTCATAGGTTCGCCATCACTGTAGCTGATGGTGCCTGGAAGAATGGCTTAGTCAGCTGCTTGGCCCACCATTACCAGAAGTCACCTTTTCCTACCCACCTTTCAGATTAAACTAAACAGTCCCTTCCTCAAGGAGCCCTTTCCATACCTCCCTGAGTATCAAGTCAAATTCACCTACTGCTGAAACCGGTTTGGCTCAGTGGATAGAGCGTCGGCCTGCGGACTGAAAGGTCCCAGGTTCGATTCCGGTCAAGGGCATGTACCTGGGTCTCGGGCACATCCCCAGTAGGAGATGTGCAGGAGGCAGCTGATCGATGTTTCTAACTCTCTATCTCTCTCCCTTCCTCTCTGTAAAAAATCAATAAAATATATTTAAAAAAAAAAAAAAGCCCATCAACCTTTAAAAAAAAAAAATTCACCTACTGTAGCCTCCCAGAGCACTCCAGCCCTCTCCTGTTTAGCACTCACTGCTGTCAACAACTGCACATTAAATGTGATCATCTTACTAATGTCTGTCTTGTTTTCAGACTATTAGCTCTAGGAGTGTTTTTGTTGTTGTTCAGTAAGGTACCCCAAGTGCCTAGCACACTTAATAATTTTAAGATCTCCAATTTTTTAAAAATTTATTTTAGAGAGAGAGAGAGAGGAAGGGAGCGAGAAGAAGGGGGGAGAGAGAAAGAGAGGGAGAGATGGAGGGAGAGCGGGAGAGAAGGCGAGAGGAAGAGACCGGGAAAGGGGGAAGGGGTAGGGGGGAGAGGGAGAGGGGGAGAGGGAGAGAGGGAGAGAGGGAGAGAGGGAGAGAGAGAGAAAGACATCAATTTGTTGTTCCACTTATTTATGCATTCATTGATTGATTCTTGTATGTGCCCTGACCGGAGGTTGAACCCACAACCTTGGCATAGCCAAGCAATGCTCTAACCAACTGAGCTACCCAACCAGGGCCTAAGATCTCCAATGTTTGCTGAGTTAAATTGAATCTGTGAAAAAAGGAAAATAATGCCTGGCCCATGTGTTTCCAGTAGTATTCAAGAAATTAGCAATTTTTTAAAAAGATCTCCATTGCTAATTGTCTGCCAGACTCATTTTTATTTGCTCTTCCAGCTGACAGAAATGGAGACTCACCCAGATCAGCTTGAGCTAGGGAAGGACAGGTTTAGGGAGATGGCTACTATGAGATACAAAAAGTGAATAATTAGAAAGACAGAACTAATCATAAAAGCAACCATTTACTGAATGCTTACAATGTGTGACGCACTATGCCAAGTGTTCTACATGGATTATTCCATTTAACTCTGAGTTATCATCCTTTCTATTTTACAGATCTGAAAACTATGATTATCATTCCATTTTGCAGATATGGAAATTGAGACTCAGAAATGCACAGCTAATATTTATTGTCACTGCTGCCAACCCAAGAACTAATATTTACCCTATTTACAGATAAGGAAACCAAGTCTTAAGAGAAATTTAGAAACTTGTCTGTGATCACATGTCTTATAAGCAGAAGAGCAGGATGTGAATCAACTTGATTTGACACCAAAGTTCAGGATATTAAATGCTACTAAACACTAGCTTTGAAAACCTTTTATACCGCTTCACACCCACTAGGATGGCTATCATCAAAAAGACAGTAACTGAGGACATGAAGAAACTGGAACCTTCATACATTGCTGGTAGGAATGTAAAATAGTACAGCTACTTTGGAAAAGTCTGGCAGTTTCTCAAAAGTTCAGCAGAGTTACCATATGACCCAGCAAATCTACTCCTAGGTAGATGCCCAAGAGAAACAAAACATATATCCACAAAAACCATGTACAATGATTGTTCATAGCAGCATTATCCAGAACAGCCAAAAAATGGAAATAACCCCAATACCCATCAATTGATAAATGTAAAATGTAGTATAGCCATACAATGGAATATTATTCAAGAATAAAAAGGGGAAGAGTACTGGCACATGCTACAACATGGATGAACTTCTTCTAAATGAAGAAGCCAGCCCTAGCCAGTAGCCAGTTTGGCTCAGTGGATAGAGCATCAGCCCCCAAACTGAAGGGTCCCAGGTTTGATTCAGTCAAGGACACATACCCCACCAGAGACACACAGGGGTCAACCAATCGATGTGTCTCTCACATCAATGTTTCCCTCTCTCTGTCTCTCCCCTCCCTTCCACTGTCTCTAAAAAAAAAAAAAAAAAAAAAATCAATGGAAAAATATCCTTAGGTGAGGACTTATTTATGTAAATTTTTCAAAAAATTATTTATACATAAATAAGAGAAGCCAGTCACTAAAGGTATGTACTGCATGTTTCTACTTACTAGTATATGAAATGTCCAGAATCAACAAACCCAAAAAACAGAAAGTAGGTTAGCAGTCGCCTAAGGTTGAGAGAGTTGGGAGGAAATGGGGAGTTAATGGTTGTGGGGTTTCTTTTTGGGGTGATGAAAATGTTCTAAAATTGATTGTGGTGATGGTTACACTACTGTGAAGATACTAAAAACTACTGAACTATACACTTTAAATGAGTGAACTGTGTGGTGTGTGAATTATATCAATAAAGATGTCATTTTTTAAGACTTCTATAACTTTAAGCTTTTACCTAATTTCTAGTAGTCTTCATTTCAATGGAAAAGTGCTTTGTTTAAATTTGAAATCATGAATTTAAGCACTTTTATGCACAAAGCCAAAAATGTTAACTTTTAAAAAGCTTTTAAATAAATTAAACTCTACCTTAACTGATAAGCTCCACAGATCACACTACTTTTACTCAAATTTCATCATACCCTATAATGTGCTGGTGAATTAATTTACCAGTGTATTAGCTCCATTTTCTTTTTTCCACTCTAGCTATGCAGTCCTATAGAATCATTATTGTGTATTATGGTTAGGAAATACAAATGAATTGTTTGCTGGGGAAACTGGAACATATAAAAATATCAGACATGAATGAAATGCTAAATTAACAAATAACCATCCCCAATCTACACACATCAAATTTTCAGTATGCTGAAGACTTGGGGAAGTCTTAAAAGAAACTCATAAACTAAAGATTTGGAGTTTGGTAAGGCCTCTCCTTACACATGTCATAAGGTCCCTGAACCAGCAGCAGCAGCATCTCCTGGGAGCTGATTAGAAATGCAGAATCTCAGACCCCACCCCAGACCTACTCAGCCAGATTCTGCATTTCAACAAGATCCCCAAGGGATGTGTCTGCTGCACATTCAAATTTGAGAAGCACTGTCCTAAGACACTTCCTTTTCTTTTTCCATTAAGATAGCTCTAGCTTGCTGGACTAATATTTCAAAACTTGACATACATACAGCTCTGGTCCTGGGCCAGCTTGTCCTCAGTTCCATTCCTCATCTGCTGTATTCCAAGTGGTGGAGGGGTTGATCTTTGCAGGCTGAGTTTCCCATGCAGGAACGGTGATGGGTGAGTCCCCGGCAGCAGCTGTGTCTTCCCCAAGGCTCCAGCCCCATCCAGACAACTTAGGGTGGTTCCAGCCTCTGGGGAGTCAGCTATGCCACCTCCTGGAGTCAGCCAAGCCACCTCCTCCCTTTGTCCTCCAGCTTAGGGGTAGCAGTAGCTTCCTGTTTGTTGCCTCATCTCAGGGTTGCCTCACTGCCCACTGTCTGCATTCCCAATTCTTCATCACCTATGCAAGCATGCCCTACATTAAATTCCCTCTGTTCTAAATACTTAAAGTGGATTCTGTTTTCCTTTTTGGGCCCAGAATGATACTCCATACATTTTAAATAGTTCTCTTATGCACCACATACAGCAGAGAATTTTCTTTAAGCTTATTGGCTTAAAAGGGGGAGGAGGGGCTATTGCACACACAGTAAACCTCAGATTTCCCACATTCTGACAATCACTAACTACCAAAAAGAAAAATCAGTCTTAAGCTATTTGTACAGCAGATGTAACTGTATTCAGAAAGTCAAGGCCTCAGAGTGTATTTTTAACACTCTCCCCATCACTCCTCAATCAGAACAGCTGGTATAGCAGCTACTATTGTTTTGTTGTTGTTGTTTTGGGGAGGAGGAGACCCATCTCCAAAGAACAGAATTCTGGTCAAACACTGGAATCTCTGAGAGATCAAATCTTAATCACACTTGTAAATCACATGATCTACCCTACACTAGGAACATAACATGCTGGAGGACCAATCAACAGGAGAGAGCAACTCCTATCAGTACCGATTAAGGTCACTTGGAGATCTTCCTAAAAACACATCTGATCTGGTCACTCCCATACTCTGAATAACCCTCTGGGACTCACTCTTGCCCAAGGCCAAAAACCCAAGCCCAGGCTAGCCCTTCAAAATCTACCTTTCCCATCTCCTCTTCCTAATTCCTCTCAACCTGATGCATTCACCTTCTGACCATTCCCAGGTGTGCTTAAACCTTAGCTACAGTAAACTCTGTGGAAAGCCCTCCCTTCCCACTTAGCCTGGCAAATCCTTTCCCTCAAGATCCTGTTGTAAAGGGGACCTCTCTATCCCTGCCTCCCAGGATAATTGGATTCTCAGTCCTATGAGCTCCCACAGCACTTACTATGCCACACAGTCAAGTAAGTACACAGGTGTCCATTTCCTACAGACTGGGAACCCCTGGGTGGAGAAACGGCCTTCCACCTTGGTATTCTGACCACGGCTCACATCCAGGTCCACACGTACTACCTGTGATACCCTGTGCACGTCCCTTAACTTCTCTACCTGGATTTCCAATTCCATAAGATGGGGATGATAGGTAACACCCAACTCCACGAGCTATCACCAGTACTAAATGAGCTAACCCACGTCACGTGCTGTAAAGTTAACCCAAGAAAAGTGCCTGGCACATACAGCAAGCACTGAAGACTTGCTATCATGAGTTATCACTGTTCCACATGGAACAGAAGAGATGTTCAATACCTATTTGCTGGATAACTGGAGCACATCACAATGAACCCGCTTCGTAGCATGTCGGGGCTAAGGACTAACCCACCACGGGTATCAAAAGCCAGCAGAAGATAATGAGAGAAATGGCTCCCACGGTCAAAGTAACAGCTGAACTTAACTGGCCCGAGGACAAGCGCACTGCAGCAGGATGAGAAAGTCGGTGCCAGCTGGATCTGCCGAGGCTGCCCACAGACCGGCCTGCCCTCGGCCACCTGTCCGGCCACCTGTCCAGCCACCTGCCTGAGGAAGACGAATTCTAACAGGGAGGGCTCACCTACAGCAAAAACCGTAAGCAGTTTTCCACGGGAACCGCAATGGGAAAACAAAGGGTGCAACTTTCCTCGTGCAGAAAGGAAACGCGTCTTTCTGCAGCTAATAGTTGGCGTCTAGAGTTCTCCACGGAGATCTAGGTGCCAAGCAGGTGCACAGCCGGGGAAAACCCCGTCTCCGCTTCCCCGAGGAGAGAGGGAGGGACGGTCACCAAACGGGCATCCCTTCCCTTTCGGGCACGAAAACGCACCCGAGTGAAGGGACGAGCCTCCACACCGGTATCCACTGGATTTATAAGGAGACCACAGGTGAGTGTCTGCAGAGCAGCCAACGGGAAATGAGCTGACCAGTTATCAGAAATGGGCAGAACCCCAGGCTCCGGGAGTGCACGCCTGCATCGCAGCCAAGCGCCCCCATTTCTGGTGCGCTCGACCCCCCGGCCCCGCCTCTAGGCCTCAGTTTCCTCCCGGACCTTGCGACGCGGGGCTTCCTCCCAGCCCACCGCCCCGCGCGGCGCCCACCTGCGCCCCCGGCCCGGGGTCGCCGCCGCCGCCCCGCCGGGAGGCGCGCTCAGCCCGGGAGCGCAGCCCGTTACCCCGCGGAGCGCGCTCCGCCCCGGCAGCTGGACCCTGGGCCGGGCCTGGGCGGCCGCTCCGGCCGAGCTGCGGGCCTCACGGGGCTGCCTCGGCGTGAGGGGCGCGCTCCCGGGCCGCTGCCGCGTCTCACCTTCTGGCGGATCTGGCCCGACGTGGACACCTTGCGGATGAGTTTCTGCGGAGAGCCGGGCTCCGCCTCGGGCTCGCTGTCCGACGACTCCTCGGGCGGCGGCGGCGGAGGCTGCTGCAGTGAACCCGGCGAAGGGGCGCCCGCCGCCGCCGCCATGCTGCCCGGCCAGCGCGCGCACGGCGGCTGGGGGGCGGGCGGGGGCGGGGCCTGGAGGGCGGGGCCTGTCCTGGGGGGGCGGGGCCGGGCCTAGGCGGACCTCCCGCTCTGTCCCTCTGTGTCCCTTGCAAGCAGTGCTTTGGACCGTACCCCCACCATTGATGTCCGGGGCCCTGATCTTAGCGTTTGTTTGTCTTCCTAGGACACAATTTCTGTTTTGTTTTGTTTTTTGTGTCTATGCTCACTTTTTCTTAATCTTTAACCTTCCCCTTCAAGAATGTAAGTGACCGGGTGGGTAGGGGCTGGGAGGAGGGTGGTAAAGGGGGAGGGGGAGACATCTGTAATATTACCAACAATAATATATTTTTTTTTATTTTAATTTTTTTAAAGAATGTAAGTGACCTTAAGGAGACCCCGGACCTGCATTGTGCCGCCAGCATCTAAAGCGGAGTCTGGTTTTTGTAGTTACTTGCACGATAAACAGTTGGGCAGTGGATGAATGCAGGAGAGAAAGAAGTTACTTGGATGGACCTCTGGGATGCCAGAACACGACGCCATCTGAGAAAGCTCCTGGAGAAAATGATGTTTAAGGGAAATGCCAGCAGGAGTTATCTCTAACTAATGGTAAGAGAACCCCAGGATCTGTGCTCTAGGCAGAGAGACCAGATTGTGCAAAGGCCTGGAGACAAGAAAGAACAAGTCTTCAAAAAAAATAAGAAAAAAAAAATGAAGAAGCAGCTGTAGCCTAACGGAAGGAAAATAACAGGAGGAGATAAGCCTAGGTCAGGCAGGTCAGACAAGACTCTTGTGAACCTGATAATGGGGTGAGTCTTTTCTGCTGAGTCCTGAGGGCAACTGGAAGCTGGGAGGGGCTGGGTCACAAAACTGGGACTTGTGATCAGGCTTTGAGGTAATCAGGGCAGGTAGCTACCCTGGATTATTGGGAGTGGCTGCCAACATAGAGAAGTGGACTCAGGATGGGAGGGATCTGTAGGCAGAAGCAGAGGCCCTGGGCTAAGCTGCAGGGTAGGTTGGTGGAGCCCTTCACTTGGGGGCCTGCAGTTGGAGATAAAATCAGTTGAGCTTCTGCTGCCCTTTGGGACATCCAGTTGACAAGAGCGTGGTGCCATCCAAGAGGAGAAGATCTTTAGGGGACTGCACAAATAAGTGTCCCCATACTCTTTCAAAGGACTGCTGGAAACTCAGCTGACCCTGGCCTGCCCACCTGTCAGCCTTCTCTGGCCCCTACTGCACTTGGCAATGCTTTCTAGAGCAAAACAAATGAAGACCCCAAGAGGCCACAGAGTAGCATCCAGCATGGGGACATGGCCAGGGGAATGGACTCATATCCATGGCAGAGCATGTAAGGGTCTAATTCAGAAACACTCTGGGACAAGCCAAGGGCCCCTGGTATACTGAGCTGCAATGCCCAATACTATAATCACTAACTACAGGTGGCTACTTCAATTTCAATTAATTAAAATTAAATTTTCAGTTCCTCAGTGATACTAGCCACATTTCAAGTGCTCAGTAGCCACATGTGGCTTAGAAGCTACCACATAGACAGCACAGATATAGAACATTTCTGTTGTCGCACACAGTGCCCTTGTGCTGACCACCGGGGACATGCCAAACACTTGACCAGCAAGTCTAGTCTTCACACAAGCCCCACAGATAAGCTCGATGGTCTTATTCTAGAGCAGTGGTTCTCAACCTTCTGGCCCTTTAAATACAATTCCTCATGTTGTGACCCAACCATAAAATTATTTTCATTGCTACTTCATAACTGTAATGTTGCTACTGTTATGAATCGTAATGTAAATATCTGATATGCAGGATGGTCTTAGGCGACCCCTGTGAAAGGGTCGTTCGACCACCAAAGGGGTCACAACCCACAGGTTGAGAACCACTGTTCTAGAGGCTTAGATACCACTCCAAAGGAGTGAGAGAGGACGTATAACCTGGACCAACTGCTTCTTATTAGGAGATGAGGGAGCAGGACTACTTGTGATGCTCCAGGGGATGAAGCCCCACTGAGCATGAGCAGCCCTAGAGGAGATGAAGGAGATGAACTTGATTTTGAACAAACTGAGTTTGCAGTCCCTGGGTGTGCTGTTGCCTGCACATGTCAGAAGCTCAGGGGACATCTGGGCCCTAGAAACCATCATTTTAGAGGTGAAAAAGCCATGAGCATGAATGTGAGTGCAAGTCAGAGTTGGCAGGTAGATACTGTGGCTGGATGGAAGTAGATTTGCAATTATGAAAAAGTACTAGAAATTGTCACAGCCAAGAGAAACCTACGGAGATATGACAACTAAATGTCATGCGGGATCCTGGAACAGAAAAAACGGCATTGGGTAAAAAACTAAGGAAATCTGTGTAAAGAATGGGCTTTAGTTTAATAGTAAAATGTCCGTGTTGAATCATTAAGTGTGGCCAACATAGCCTCCTAATGTTAATAATAGGGAAAACGGTATGTTTTGTACTATTTGTCAACTGTTCTGGAAATCTAAAACTATTTGAAAATAAAATGTGTAATCTTTAAAAGCTGATAAGGATGTTTCCCCGATGAGCAAAGAAGCCTTTATGTTCACTGTAATGGCTGTTCCCTTGGAGATCTCCCCAGAGTGGCAGGCCTGTAAGGGCACATTCTCCCCAGTGCCGCTTTATGGTCTGAGTCATGCTGTGAATCATCTCTGACAACATGCTGCTCCCTATGTTTACCCCACCTTAAGGGCATATCAAGGTGGCAGTAATAACACACTTCACATCCAACCTAATCTTTCTTCTCGACCTGTCAATGTAGAAGCACACCTCCTGTCAAAAAGAACCGCTTCCCGTTAGAGGAGAAAAACAATGCACTTGAAAACAGGGGGATGGTCTCATTCTCCCCTGAACTAGGGTTATGATTGACATGTGGAGCGGGACATTTATTCACTGGGTGTGGTATACAGTTTCCCTGGCCCCCAGGCATGGTGGCAACCTGAACCACCCCCATACATTTCCAAATGTGTCCAACTCCCCATCTATCCCACCCACAAGATTCAGTAAACTAAACCATTAGGGATGTGACAATAGATTGGGAGGGAAGTGATGAAACATGTTGAAGGAGTAGGAAAACAGACACTCTAAAAAGAAATTAACTGCACATGTGATAAAATGGTAGTGAACTAAATACACACACACACACACACACACACACACACACACACACACACGTATAAGTCAAACTGGGGAAATCTGAGTAAGATGGGTGGATTGTACCAATGTCAATATCCTGGTTGGGATAGGTACTATCGTTCTGCAGAATGTTACCCCTTGGGGGACAGATAACTACATGTAATCTACAATTATCTCAATAAATAAAATTTTCAATTTAAGAAAAGAACTTAAGGGCAGCCATTGTAAAGTCACAAATGCTAATCTCCCCCTCTGACCCTCCAAACTCTCATCCACTTCAGCATCAGAAGGTGAACGAAGGTCTGGTTATAGAGTCAGGGAATCCAGAGTTCAAATCTTGACTCTGACTCTCACTAGCTGTATGACCTTGGGTAAGGTACACGATCTCTCTGAACTGCAATTTCCTCATCCAACAAATGGAATGACAGTACCAATTTGCAAGCATTTGTGGAATGATTAGATGTAATATGGGAAATGGCCAGCACGAGGTAGGTGCTCAATACACAGCAGGGATCCCTACTTCTCTAGCCCTTTGGTTGTGGTTGCAGAACATTGTCCCAAGTTCCCAACCACCACTTGCTCCATGCAGCACCCTCAACTCCTTTGTACCCTGTTTCTTGCACTGCGCTCACCTGGAAAACCCTGGGTCACACATCCGACCTACACACGGACATCCTGTCTCCTGACAGCAGGGAGTACGCCAGCAGACACAACGCCATGCGTGTGCAGGCCCAGCCAAGTTCCACATCCCTTTTGGGCTGGCCAGCCATTCACTTCCTGCTCCCACCCCCACACCCTCCCCAGTGGCCAACTGCAGGCCATAAACTAACCAGCACCTGGAAATCCGAAAGTCAGCCATTTTGGTACCAGAATAACCTGGAGGGCAAGGACTGTTCTGACCTCTGGTCTCCAGGAACTGGCCTGCTCACTCTTCTCTCCATCTCTCCCACCCACACAGTTGCAAAGGTCAGGCCTAACAACATCCACCCTGACTTAGGATGTCCTGGGGTCAAGCAATGCAGGAACCAGCAAGCTGGTTCTCTCAGCAGGCACTCCAGGGAAGAATCCCAGGTCCCTGGCTTACCCAAGATCTCGGTGTGAGCCAACCACGATGGCTTCTGGGCTTTGGGGGAGGGGTGGCAGCAGGGGAAGGGCTCAGATCCCCAGAGGAGTCTGCCACCCTGATCATCCCTTTCCTGAGTATACGGGGAGAGAGGCCCGGGCTGGAGGGGGTCACATGCTGTGTCCTCTTAGCATGGGAGAAATAAGGAAGAAGAAACTGTGTCTGACCTTGCAAACCCACAGGCCAAAGCCCCAATCTTCTTCCTGTTATCATTATTATTATTATTATTCCTCTAGAAATGAATGAATATTCATCCCTGTCAATATGAGTGCCTCAAACTCAACACAAGAGTTAAAACCTCGCTTTGTGTATGTGGACTCCTGTCCAAAGTCCCAGGTGGAGCCTCTGGTCTAAATCCCAGTCCCCAAGACACAGACCAGCCTGGCATCTGGCAGAACCACCCCAGCTCTGGGCACCTTCGTGTGCATGGACCCCACACTGCTATCCAGCCCTCTGCCACTGCTCTTGGTGCTGGAGACCTGACCCCAAGTGTCACTCCTTACTCGACCCCCTCCCATTCACCTTCCAACCTCCTGTGAATGGGTTCAACTGTGCAGAACTCTCTAAACCCCTTTTATCCTGCTCCTTGGAGCGTGGACTAGAGCTACCCATCCCTCAAGTCCCTCCAGGCCACCAAGAGAGCTCTCTCTGCATCATTAGCAGGCCCCCAGGCTGGGTACCACAGGCCAGGAGGGGACTCCATGAAGGACAGGGCCCTGGCATCACCTTGGTTTTCCCTCCTCCCCCTGCAGCTCCTCCTTTTTCCCTGACACAAAGCAATCTCTCTGCCCCACCCCTTCTAAGCCGGATCTCCATGAAGATACTCTAACCAAGAAACCTGTCAGGCTTGCAATGAATCCCCTCTTCTAGGGCAACACGGTCTTAGGGTTGGCTCTGCCGTAGTGGGCCACAGGGCACTGATCCACCTGACTGAGACCAGGAGCTTCTGGTGCTGAGCCACAGCTCTGGGTAAATGGCGGGACCCCTGGAGCCTCTCCAATTTCTGCGCAACCCAGAAATGGCAGCTCAGGTTCTTCCTTTAATTCAGTTCTCTGAGCCACTCCAAGGTCCTTCAATGCATTCCTTTCCCACCTTAAACCAGCCAAACCTGAGTTTATTGCTTGCATTCAATAGAAACTTAGCCAACAACCCTGAGCTCAAACAGGGACTTGGCCCCCAGAGTTGAATCAGTGAAGTGTGTTTGGCCCACATTTGTCCTCTGTCCAGTTGATCTCAGGAGGTTCTTTTGTGGTCCTGGAGCTAGAATTGGTCAATGTGATCAGAAACACTGCCCCTCCCCTATATATTTCCAGGGAAATGGCTTACACAGGACCCTAGGAGAAAGCCCAGGACACACTGGGCCCCACAGGTGAGCATATCCATTTCAGCTGCCTTCTCACCTTGAAGAGCCAGAGCTGAGCCGCTGCAGGGAAGGTTGGCTTCTTTTTTAGATGCTGCCCTCCCCATCCCAGACTCAGGTACCCTAAAGGCTGCAGCTTCTGTTGGTGACGTCACTCAGCCTCCCCAGCAAGCCAGCCTGACTCAGGACCCAACAGAACAGACAAACTTTATTTCTGTGAAGAGACTCACACTTTGGTATTTAGCATAACTAAAGGGCTAACTGTGGAGCTTTGCTCATGGACTGCTAATATCCCATTTCCGGTCCTCAGTCACCTCTTCACTCATCCGCAGCTGTCTCCTGGTCTTTCTTCCCTTCCTCAGGATCTCCTGAGTCTTTCAGATTTTGACGAGCAAAATCCTCAAAAACCAAATTTTCATCCTGAAAACTAAAATTAAACAAAGAACATTTTGATCATGGCACACTATGAGGCTTACAACGAAATCTCGAGCAAAACAGATCTTTTTGCAACAAAGGAAGCGATGGAGAGTTTCCTGCATGATGAACACAGGACCCCACCCTTCTCATAGTTGTTCATGGAAAATCTCTTTAACGGGCAAAAAAAGAGTGAAAACCCAAGAGCAGACTACACACCCACTATATCCGTGCATGCATGTGTCATGTGTGTGCATGTGTTTGTTTGTGTGTCTTAGTACTAGGAAACAAAAGGAAAACCAGGGTCCAAACCTGTGTCAAGAGCATGAGGTGTGTACAAAATGACCCTAAAAGTGGTTGTGCCAGATGAGAAAGTCACAGAACACAGGGCAACAAAAGGCAGTGGCTCACCTTTCCTTTGCCATAGCTGCGGCATGGAATGAAAAAGAGAGAGATTAGCATAAATTCTGTATAATGGCTGCACCTGGAAAATGTCTTCCTTGTTTAGTGATTTATAGTTGGGGGAATAAAAGGTCTAGATACATACATTTCATGATAATGGCATGTAATTCCTTCTTCTTTGCCTTTTCCTGCTCAGAGAGCCTTCTCCCTGCATTTTTAGCCATCGCTTCTTTTTAAAGTGCCACAACCCTCACCTGCTCAAGGGGGCCAAGCCACAATCTCACCTCCAGAACCCTGTCCTTGGTTGGCCTCACTCTCTCTGATGTCACACTTCTCTTTGAAAGCGTCTCTCCCTACGTGTCCTAGGACCATTCCAGATCAGAGTCCCCAGATGCTGTCAGGATCCAAGCCTACCCACTTCAAACCATCCACACGTTCAGCTCTTGAGCGGTGACTCCTAGGCCTCATGCTTACCCAGCATCCCCAGCGGTTGGGGTGGGCATTAGACCTTGAGAACTACTTCTGGCCCCTCTCCATTTCTCTGTTAGCATATTGATCTTCATTTTGTTGGATTATATTCTCATGTATGTTTTGCAGCCCCAGTTAATTGCTATTCATTTGGGGTGTTTTTTTGTTCTTTTTTAGCTTTCTGCCTCCCTAGTAAAGTACTGGTGCAACCCTCAGTGGTGAGCCAGGAAGAGCGAAGTGATGCTAAACAACTCCAGATGGTTTCTCGGGAGCCCCGTGCTGATGGCAAGCCACTGCTCTTGTGCCTCGTGCCCACCTGGAAGCCAGCCCTGAGAGGGAAGTGTCTGTGTGGGCTGCTAACCACAGGAAGCCTACGGAGAGGCTGACTCATCAAAACATCCCCTGGGCAAGAAGCCTCCAGGACCCCCTCAGTGCTGAGCATAAAATTATACTAAGTGGGACCATCAGCCCAGAAGAGAATCCAATCAACACCCTGCGTTCCCGTGGATGCTCTTGACAGGGGACAATAAAAGCTTGGTAGCATTTCTACAGCACTTACTACATGCAAATTACTTGGCCCCTGGCCCTGGCAGAGTTTCCCAGCCGCAACCTAATGCTTCCTCTGCTTGGAGTCTGTCATCCAGGCCAGGAAGCAGGGACCTAGGCAGGTGAGACGTGAGCATGCATCCATGAATAAAACTGAGTGACTCATAAATCTCTGGAAATCAGAATTTCAAGGCCATAGGGTGACTTGTCCTTTTTCCCTGAAATCTCATAGTATAAAAAAAGATCATTGGTGAGTCCAGATGTGTGATATGTTCGATGGAAGGACCAGAATGACTGGAACATGGAAATGTCATACCCAGAAAAGGAATAATGCCACTTCCCCCCAGCTCAGCCATAACGCCTGTTCACAGCTGCAGAAAACAATTTCACATAAACTGTGACATCTCCTCAGGCCACAGTTTTAAAATAGCCTTTGAAAATGTCCTTGAAAGAGACCAGAATGCATCTCAATCTCACATAGTTCAAAATAGTATTTTAATGACACAAGCATAAGTGAATAAAATAAACATGGCTAGACTGTATGTTTCCCCCGGGGGAAGGTTTTGGCAAAGCACACTGAGCATTTGAATCCAAACTATTTGGAAAAGATGCTTGGAGACAAAATATTTTTGAGACAAACCCAAATGAATCTGGGGCCCTTCTACTGTTCAGATGTCATTTCATTATCCATTTCATAAAAGCTAGATATAAAGTATAAGGAAAAAAGAAATCCTGCTTGCTTACACCACTTTTACTCCCAATGTTCCTTACTGCTGTAACTGTGAGATTCCCTTTCGGGAGGCCCATTCCTCTGTCCTGACAACTAAGCCACTGAACACTCAGTGGAGAATTTTTCTCAGAATTTCCCAGATGGCACCTGTATTATTTTTGCTGCTTCATCCATCTTTTTTAAGAGAGCTCTGTTGAGATCCAATTCACATAGCATACAATTCACCATTCATGTGTACAGGCCAACAGTTTTTAGAACATTCAGAGTCGTATAGGCACTGCTTCATTTACTTTTAACAACTGTACGAGAGCCAATAGAGTTACATTCACAGGAGCCACGGTGTCAGGACCCCAGCCTGACCCGCTTTCCTGGTATTTTCTATCTTCTCATCACAATCTCCACTGTCAAAAACACTCATCTTCCAAAGGCCTGCTAATGTTTCCAAATGAAATGCAAAAGCTTCAGGCTCTCAAAATTATTTTTCACCTTAAACTTTCTTTACATCTAAACCTAGGTCTGTTCAACAGGAGAACCTATGCTTTTAAATCATTCCTGACAAAACCTAACAAGATTGCCCATGTCTGAGCCCAGGGAGGCTCGGACAAGCTCACGGAGGGTGGACAAGCACCTGGCTCAGGACTGAGCATGTGAGCACGCCTTCCTGGGGCCGGGCACCTTGAGGATGACATGGCCATGCCCGCCCATGCTCACAGGTGTGGTCAGGAAAGACTAGCAGTGAATTTGTAATCAATCTGAAAGTTGTGAATGACAGAGAAAGTCAGGGCGCTGCAGACTGACCTGGGTCCTCGGGCTGCGGGTGCATGAGGCGGAACGGCACTTCAGTGGCCACTTCACTACAAAAAAGAAAGCAGATTGTTCTTACACACACAATTATAAATTGCACAGGATCCAGTGAGATTCAGAGCAAAACAAACCAGATGTCAAGAAGTGATCAAGTAGGAATTTTAAATGTATTCCCTGGCAGGTGGTCCAGAAACTTCACATACTCGTGGCCGAGGCGTCTAGGATTTTCAGGTTCCTTTCCTCCTGGTTATTAGTTTCAGTGACACCATATTGTGGTGGAGGACAGGTGGAGGGAGAATAGTTTTGAAAAATATCCTTTGCAAAAATGTACACAATTTGTATGTGTTACATCTTCTATGTAAGGCTGGTGGGTTGGGGACCAGGGACACAGTCTCTTGAATAGAGAGCAGAATAAAGATGACCAGAGATCACCAAATTCCAGAGGCTAAAGGGCTTTGGGGCAGATTGGAATTTATATAAAAAGAAGGAAGGAAAGGAGTCAGGAAGGAAAGCAGAAGGAAAATCTAGACAAAGGGAGAATGGCAAGGGTGTGTGTAAGTCTGTGTGTGTGAGAGCGTGTGCTTCACCTAGGACCCACTACCTCCCGCCCCACAGTTACCACTTTGGTCAAAGCACATGTTTACAAGGCCGTTGTCACCACACCCCAGTACACACATACAGATGGGGTCTAGAAGAAGATGCATACCCTGGTTTGTGAGGGAAGGAGATGGTAAGAGTCGGGGTGAAGGAGTATGTAAGTTCAGTGCCTGTCTCCAACATGTGAGACTGCCTCTTTGCGCATGGTATGAAAGGCAGCTGTCACTATTCGCAATAGCCAAAAGGTGGAAACAACCCAAATGTCCACAAAAGATGAAAGGACCACAAAATGTGGCATATCCATACAATGGAATATTACTTGGCCATACAAGGAATGAAGCACTGACACACGCTACAACATGATGAATCTTGAAAACACTATGCTGGGCGAAAGAAGCCAGATACCAATGGACAAATATTGTCTCATTCTGTGTACAGGAAATGTCCAGAATAGGCAAACTTTTGGAAATAGAAAGCAGATTAGAGGTTGCCAGGGACCAGGGAGAGGGGCAAATGGGAGAGAATATAGGTTTTCTCTTGGGATGGTAAAAATGTACAGGAGCTCAGTGGCGGTGACAATCACACAACAACTGTAAACACAACCGACACCACTGAATCGTACACTTTCAAGGGGTTAAAATGGTAAACCTCGTGTTATGTACATTTTATCAAACACACAGCCACACCAAGGCAGCTGCATGGAGTGTGCCGGTTTCCTGAGTGTGTGTGTTTGTGTCCTTGCCCAGGTGTAGGCTCAGCTGTGGTCTCAAAGAAACATCCCCAGCTCTCGGCCAAGTTTTGCATGATGCACCCAAAAGGCAGAGGGCATGGTTTCATAATGGCTCTGAGCACAGCTGCCAGGAAACCAGGCTCCACTGTGACTGTTTTGAACCCCAGGTTTGTTCCTTTGATACCCTGGAATCAAGCGAGAAGGAAGGTGACAAGGCTTACCTGGAGGTGAACTCTCCCAGAAAGCTAGGAAACAAAAGCAGACAGGGCTGTGGTGACTGCCCGCCATGTAGCATGGCCTCATTTCCCATTACTTAGAGGAGGGACGTGTCCCAGTCCTGTCCTTCACTCACAACTTTTAGGACCTTTGTGTCCCTGAATATTCAACTCCACTATTCCTCTCCATCTGTGATTTCTCAAGTGGATTAGTTCAAATGAGGAGGCACTTAGGTTCAAGCCCTACTGTTTAAGAGTAAACCACAGATCAGAATTTCTCTCTTGGCCACAAAGATTATTGTAAGAGAAACTCTACTCTGCTTTACATCCTCTCTGTGAAAATGAAAGAAAACACTGTACATCTTGAAAAACACACAACGAACACAAACACTGTTAACAAAATTTGTAAAATCAACCTATGTTCTACTTTGTTGTCCCAACCAAAATTTGGGCAACTCTTTATCTACTCAGAATTACGGAATCTATGCCTGGACTTGTCTTTGATGGTTGAACTAACCAAGGCTCATATAGGTTAGAGGCCAGAGCCATTGGCAATGGAATTTGAAAAGGAAAATGAGAATTCAAAGTTTTCCCTTCGTTAAAATATGTTCTTAAAATTAATTTTAGAGAGATCAGAAGGAAGAGGGAGGAGCTGCCTCCTGCATGCCTCCTACTGGGGCTCAAGGCCATAACCCTGGCATGTGCCCTGACCAGGAATTTGAACCAGCAACCTTTTGTGCATGGGACAATACTCCAACCAACTGAGTCACATCGGCCAGGGCTCAAGTTTTTCTCTTTTGGAAAAGGTTTTTAAAATGGATGAAATTCATTTTACTAAAAAAGATAAAACCATTTCCTCGGAATTCTGAGATATCTGTGCTCTTGAATAAAAAGGAAACTCCCAAATCCTGTGATTACACATTAGGAAGGGAAGGAAAGATCTCTTCCTTATGGACGGATGCCCCCTGAGATCTAAGAGAGTTCCCTTGATAGCCACCATTCCTTCCTGAGGTTCAGCACCACACTGAACTCATCATCCTTTTTTGCATGTCAACTTCCACCACATGAGCATAGGCACACCCACTCTTGTCATGTGGTACTAACAGTACACATATTTCATCATCCACTTTTCTACCCTTTTCCATGTGCTGTTCTATCAGACAGAAATATGAAACTAAATCAACAGAGTCTCTCCAAAACTCTACTCGGTAATCAGTAGAATTTGTGGCCCTTCCTGTGCTTTCTGTCTCCCCATCATTCAGGAATGAAACAACTTAATCAAAGGCCAAGACAGGGCCAACAGAGTGGTGGGACTTGGACACTCACCCTGACACTGTGAGCTTCACCTTGATCTGGTAAGACACCAGAATCCCCAGGACGGTTCGGTCTATGCCCTCCTTGATGCTGCATAAACAGAAAGGAAAAGTAGAAGAATGCAGGGGAGCAATGGAAAGCAAGGACTGGGAAACCAACCCCTCATCTCCACGCAGGCACACCATCATGGGGGCGTCTTCTCAAGGACCTGGTGAACTCAACCAAGCTGTCAAAGTCCTAGAACAGGGTGTGCTTCCTGGTTCTCCCTGCTCTGCCTTACACTGAGTCATCTCCTGAGCTGTGAGGACTCACATTGTGCTGGAGGCAAGATTTGTGTCCTCATGCTTGATTTTCCCATCCAGGGCGATGCCCCTCCGTTCTCGGTTGTTGGCCAGCAAGGGCACCAGCGTCAGCGTTGTGGTCAGAGTACTGTTTGGCAGCACTTTTTCTCTGCAGGAAGATAATCAGAGAGGTGATCTGACTAATTGCTCTCACAGCCATAAAGCCACCATCCATCCCAGGAGCCCCTGTGTGCCATGAGGCATGTTCCAGATCTAAGCTCCCTGCGATTCATTGGAAAGGTAGTTCAGGTACCTGTGCATTTGCCTG